CCGGTCCGTGTCTCCTCCAGTCACAGGCTCACGTGCACATGCTCCTGCAGGTACGCGCACACTTTGGAGCTCATCTTCATCCTCTGTGAACTTAGCAAAAAATAAAAGCCCCCAAAGCCTAGGAGTGATCTTTAGCTTCCTTTTCTCACTTCAGTCTCACGCTCCTGGAATAGCTTGGGTCAGCCTCGTCCCTCACACAGCCCTGGACTGGCCACTGTTGCCCTGGTGGCCCCCTGGCTGGCTGTTCCAGTCTGCCTCGCCCTTATCTGCTCTTAATGCAACTACCAGAAAGAGTCTGTAAGCCCCAGGACAGAGCTCAGTGTCTTCTCAGAGCCAGCGAGAAGTCAGAGTCCTTTCAGAAGTGGGGCATGATGGCACAGGCCTGTAACTCCTGGACTCAGGAAGCCAAGGCAGAATGATTCTTGTGAGTTTGAGGCCAACTTTGGCTACACAGTGAGCTCAAGGCCAGCCTAGGCTATGTGGTGAAATTGTCTTAAAAAAAAAAAAAAAAAAAAAAAAAGTCCTTAGGGGCCGGGGAGATGGCTCAGTGGAATAAGTGCTTCCCTGGCAAGCGTAAGGGCCTGAGTTCAATTCCCAGTTCTGCCAAAATAAATGAATAAATAAAAATAAATAAATTAAGAAAAAGTCCGTATCCAGTGCCCGTGATCTCTAGGTTGCGCCTGCCACATCCTGGCCCCCGGCTGGCCAGCCTGGCTGTGCCCTCTGCTCTGTGCCCATCCTCGGGGCGGCTCTGGCCTCCCTCCCACCTGGCTCCTTCCTGGCTCCGTCTTCCCATGGTTCCCAGCACGCCAGGGTCCTGTGTGTTTCGCTGTTGGGCGTTTGTGTCCTCCCACTGGGATGTCCGTTCCCACAGGAGGCATTCAGTAAGCCCCTGCCTGCGAAATGAGCCAAGTGCACTGTGTCACCGCTGCATCACTCCAAGCTAGGCTGTGTGGACTTTGGGATAGTGCTGACCGCGCCGTGAGGCGTCCATTGGCCCAAGCCCCTTTCCGTAGCTTAGGGCTGCTGTGGGCAACCCCAGGAAGAGTCCTGTAGAAGTGAGAGTGGCTCGGGTGGGCGCTCAGGGTGTGCTGGGCCTGCTTCTCAGGTCTGCACTTTCCCCACCTGGCATGCCGGCTGGCTGCTCTGACTGTTCCCCTGGACCCAAGCCTCCAACTCGCTGCCCAGTGGGCACTTTCTCCCTGGCAAAGGGTGCCCAGAACACAAGGCAAGGGGCAGGTTACCTCCTTTGGCCCCTCTCTCTGGAACAAGGTCACAGAGGGCTCCTGGGGCCCAGGCTGGGGGTCTGCTGCAGCCCTGTAAGCCTGAGGAGCCCTGCAGGTCACTTTGGGCCCTGCGGGAGCTTAGGCCTGGATGGCGTCCAGGGTGGCTTCTCGGACAGGACAAAGGCCTCTGCAGCTGGTGTTCAGACATCGAAACACGGATGTCGGAGAGCCCAGCCATTTCCTCAAACTCGAGTCTGTGCCCACGAGCAGCGCTGGGGAAGTGCTCTGTATGTTGGTTGGCGCAGCCCTCGGCGGCCCACACAATAAGGCTTTGATGATGAAAGGCCTGGCTGGCAGGCAGCCCAACGTCGCACGTTAGCTGCGGCTCAGCCTCACGCCCCTGTCCTTCTTTCGGGCTGTCAGAATGCCAGTCCTAACAGGCTGCTCGTACACTGTGTATTTTGGCATTTCATGCAGGGAATTTAATATTTAAGAACAGAGAGATATGTTTGTCTTTTTCCTCTGTATAATTCATATGGTATCTCTTTGTAATACCCCAATACTTGGTTCGCATAAAAAAAATTAGAAGCACTGGAAAGTTAAATGTGTTATTGCTGCTCTAAACAGGAGTTAGGGTATATTTTAGGCATGGAAATAATGTTAAAAGATATCTTCTGTGTATAGATACATTAAGAAATAGCCAAAATTAAAAAAAAGAAAGAAAAAAAAAAGAAAGAAATAGCCAAGCTCGTGGTGAATGTCCCAGCACCCCCCACAACCATGATGCAGTGAGCAGAGGGGAGAGCAGGCCAGGGATTGTTGAACTAGCTCTCTGGACGTGACTGAGAGGAAGACAAGTGCCTCTGTCATGCACCGAAACAGTCACCCAGTTTTATTTGGAGGGCCCAGGTATTCGCATGGCAGCTCATTTGTGCAGTTTTGGCCTCTTCTTGGGTTCAGTGGTCCCTGTTCAGCCATCCAACCTGAATTTTCATCTTCAAAACTCAATTCTTTTTTTTTTTTCTTTTGTGGCCAGTTCAGCCTGCTCTGGGGATGGGACTGGCATGTCATGTGGTGCAGGGATCGAACTGCCATCCCTGAGCTTTGTCTAAGCTTGTCTAAGCAGGTGCTTTAGACCACTGAGCTATCTCGCCAGCCCTAAAACTCAATTCTGAACTCCTTGCTATAATCCTAGCACTCAGGAGGCTGAGGCAGGAAAATGGCCACAAGTTAAGACCAACCCAGTCTAAAAGTGAGTTCCAGGCCAGCCTGAACTACATAGTGAAACCCCTGTCTCCACCCCCCCCAGCCCCCCCCCCCAGAAAAGAAAAAGATGTAGAGGCAAGAGGAGCACTTCCTGGCTGCTGGGTGGAGTCGCAGGGTGGGGCTGGTGTGGGTCTGTGAGCTTTTGGGGAACCAGGCCCTGCGCTCCTGTGTCCCTGTGTACTCATGTGCACTCATTTATAGAGGCAGGCAGAATTTCAGAACCACTGAGTTATTCTTCTAGCTTGTCATGTGGGGAAATTGAGTCTCAGGACAGTGATGAAAGTCACCCTATGCCCTGGGTGAACCCTCTATGCAGCCAACTTCTGTGATTTTTTTTATCTTTTTACAAAATCATGAAACACGTAGTTCTCTATTTTATACTGCTGGGTTGGAGTTCACGTCCAGTAGTCCGTGGACTTGGTAATAATTTAAGGGGACAATATTTTTATTTTGCTTTTTTGAGGCAAGGTCTCACGACATAGTTCAGGTTGGCCTTGAACTCAAGGCAATCCTCTTGCCTCAGCCACTGTGCCAGTGGGAGAATTATTTTTATTTATTTACTTGTCTTTTGTATTTAGTACAGGGTCCCACTACACAGATCAGACTCATAGTGATTCTACTGTTTTCAGCCTCCTAAGCACTGAGATTACAGGTGCACCATGCCCAGTCTCAGTCTCCATCTCAGCATGCCCTGGGGTTGGGCCAGCCAGGGAGAATTATTTTTAAAAGCTCATGAATGCTATTGGCTGTTTTCCGCTCCATTGATCCCCACTTTGGCATTGCAAGGCACCTGGTACAGGGAAGAGACCTGTTTACTTCTGTGGACTTTGCCTGCAGTTGTTTATTGGTTTTGGCTTTGTGTTCGTTTTAGACAGGGTCATCTATGTAGCTCAAACTAGCCTTGAATTCCTGGCAATCCTCCTGCCTCAGGCTCCCAAGTGCTGGGATTACAAACATGGGCCACCAGGCCTGGCTCTGCCTGCAGTTATGGTTTAAAAACAGATCCCAGCTGAGGTGAGAGCAGGCCAACAGACACACCCTCG